GCTGCTTCTACTCAAGATGAAGTGGGCCTGATACCCTCCCCACTTCATGAGAAGGCCAGAGTTAATGACTCTTTAGTCACCCTGCAGACTCATCCGGACCAAACTATGCTCTGTATGTGGGATGTGTCTGAAGCCTTAGAAGACTTAGAAGGGGAGTGGTCAAACAAGGACCCTCGCGAGTCTTGGGTGGCGCTAAAGAAAGGTCCTAGAGGGGAACATTTCGTAGTGGAAGTGGATGTAGGAGGCCGCAAATGTGGTGCCTTCATAGACATCGGATCCACGCGAAATTACATAAGACGCGACTGTTTGGAAAGGCTGCACCTACAGGACCGGGTACGACACCTTAGTAGACCTGTAGCATCTACTTTGGCCAACAAGGAGCGCATGATAGTCACAGACTATATCAAGGACGTAGTCTGTACCTTCTCCTATGGAGGAGGAGAACTTAATCATAAGATTTCGTTCTTGGTTAGCGACGACTTACCATTTGACATGTTGTTAGACATGGACTACCTCGAAGTTGCTAAGCCCCAGTTTGACTGGGATAAGGTGTTCAAGCATAAGTTGCCCGATGGCCGAACTGTCAGATTGACTAAGTTCAAGGCCAGTAGCATTATAGATACTTATGGCTGCTTGTGCGCATCAGCGTTCTACAATTACTATAAGCAAAACCAGGAGGAGGGTATGTACCTAGTGTATGTCTCTGAAAAAGGGGAGGCCGTTAAAACACCCCCAGAGATAGAACACGTCGTTGCTAAGTTCCCTGATTTGTTCGAAGAGCCCACAGGAGTTGTTGAAAGGGAAGCTGTCCATGCTATAGAAATCATTCCAGGGAGTAAGACCCCAAAGGAAAGGATCTATAGGATGGCTCCCGCCGAGTTAGATGAACTTCGGCGACAGCTTAAGGAGCTGACAGAAAAGGGATGGATTCGGCCTAGTACTTCCCCTTACGGATCTCCCATGCTATTCGTACCGAAGAAGGGGGGTACATTGAGGATGTGCATTGACTATAGAGGCGGCAGAGCCTCTACCTCGCATAGACGACCTATTGGATAGGGATGCAAGTACTATAGCAAGATAGACTTGAAATCCGGCTATCATCAGATCGCTATAAGACCTGAGGACCAACACAAGACAACTTTTCAGACTCGTTATGGTCTGTATGAGTTCGTAGTGATGCCTTTCGGTCTTTGTAATGCGCCGGGTACATTCCAGCACGCTATGAATCGGATCTTCCATGACCATTTAGATAAATTTGTCGTGGTCTATCCAGACGACATTCTGATCTTTAGTAAGTCTGCCGAGGAGCACGCACAATACGTTGAGACTGTACTCTCACTCCTGCGACAGCACAAGTATAATGTCAACTTAGAGAAGTGTGAGTTTGGTCGCACTAAGATACTATACTTGGGTCATGAAGTATCCGCGGAGGGGATTAGGCCGGAAGATGCGAAGGTGGCTAGTATTCGAGACTGGCCACGACCTCAGACTGTCACTGAGGTCAGATCTTTCTTAGGAATGTGCGGCTATTATAGGAACTTCGTAAAGAACTATTCTACAGTCGCCTCTCCTTCGACAGATCTAACTCGACTTGACACGCTGTGGGACTGGAGTGATGAGTGCGAGGGTGCTTTCAAGAGATTGAAGCATGCACTCATGAATCATGAGGTCCTCATGGTTCCCGATCCTCAGAAGCCATTCATAGTGACCACTGACGCAAGCCAATACGACATTGGCGCAGTGCTGGCTCAGCAGAATGGGAAGAAGTTGAGACCGATTGAGTACATGAGCAAGAAGATGCCATCAAAGAAATTCGCAAAGTCCACCTACGAAAGGGAACTCTATGTTCTCGACAAGGCACTTGTCCATTGGAGGCGCTTCCTATTGGGGAGGTTCTTCTACTTGAGGACTGATCATCAGACCCTCAAATGGATCAAGACTCAACTGGCTCTTTCTGACGCACTCAAGCGATGGATTGAGGTCATAGACCAATATGACTTCAAGCTTGAATATCTGAAGGGAGAGTACAACAAGGTTGCAGACGCGCTATCACGTAAAGTAGACTACCTAGGTGCGCTTGTTTCTGACTTTGGCGTATCTGAAGAAGTAACTCAATCATTGATGGGAGCCTATCAGGAAGACCTTGTCACGATGGACATCATGCGCAAACTTCAGGCAAAAGACAAGGCCACGGAAAGTGAGTTTGTGATGGTGGACGGGCTCCTCTATCTTGATAAGGCCGGAATAAAAAGGTTAGTAGTTCCATCAAGTGAACGTTTGCGTAGTTTGTTTTTAGGAGAATGCCATGACGCAACCGGGCACTTTGGCTACAAGAAGACGAATGCTAATCTAGTACAGCGATTTTGGTGGCCTGAATGTTAGATGATGCAAAGAAGTACGTAGAGACCTGTCAGGTCTGTCAGCGGGACAAGCCGCTAACTCAAGCACCGCTTGGGTGGTTGAAGCCTTTACCTATTCCTGCTGGTCCGGGATAGAGTGTTTCCATGGATTTCRTGGACACCCTGGTGACTAGTAAGAGTGGCAAGAGGCACATTTTCGTCATCATCGATCGATTCACCAAGTACGCTAGACTAGTGGCCATGCCAGAGACCGCAAGGACTGACTATGTCATCAAGTTGTTCAAGGACAACTAGGTGCGTGACTTTGGTTTACCAAAGTCAATCGTTAGTGACCGAGATGTCCGATTCACAAGTGAGTTGTGGAAGAAGACTATGGAACAGATGGGCAGTCAACTTCATATGACTTCAGGGAATCATCCCGAAGCCAACGGACAGGCCGAGAAAATGAACAGAGTTGTACAGCACTTGCTGAGGCATTACATCAAGCCCAGCCAGGATGACTGGGATGAGCAGTTGCCTCTCATCGCCAGCCTGTACAACAATGTTGTACACAGCTGCACCGGCGTTAGTCCTAATCAGCTGCACTTGGGATGGAAGCCTAGATCAGCACTAGACTTCCTCCTACCTGAAAACCGACCCGCTGCAACTCCAGGCACACTTGAGTATGCTGTGCAGTATGAGAAGTTGCTGTAAGAAGCTGTCGAGCACATGAAGAAGGCTCAACAAGCAATGATTGCTTCTGAGAATCAACATCGTAGAAAGTCCACATTTCAGGTAGGGGAACGTATCTGGGTCAAGGCTAGTGAGTTAGGACAGGAATTCGGAATCTCTCGCAAACTAATGCCTCAGTACTTTGGTCCCTGGGAAGTCCTGGATATAGTGGGGGATGAGATGGATGGTCCCACATATGTCATTCGTGTCCCTGGACATCTACGCACTCACCCAATCTTCCATGCCTCAAAGCTTGCACCTTTCGCTGAGACAGATCAATTCCCTTCCAGGAGATCGATGCTGCCCCCAACCATGGATGGTCAAGTGGGCATCGACGACATTGTGGATCACAGGGATATGCCTGTTCCGAAGCCACTGGGTCGAGGAAGACCTCCTAAACCCAAGAGAGAGTATCGCGCCAGATTCAGGCACCATATGGATCCAAAAGAAGATCGGTGGTTTACCAGACAAGAACTGATTGAGACAGCTCCTCAGGTGGTAGCAGAATATGAAAGAATTCTGAAAGGGAAGGCACCTGCGAAGTAAGCATCTCAGCGGACTTTCGAAGCTAAGGGGGATGGAATGTGAGGAATGAGCCCTCAGATGGGGCCTGCCGACATGCATATGTTCTGGGCATAGGCCCCCAGCAAGCCTTGTGCCTGCCCTAAGTGAAGGCGGGCCAGACCTGTGACCGCCCTAAGTGAAGGCTGGTCAGAATACCCACGTACAGGCCTTTCTTTCAACATTTTTGTAAAGTGGGTATCCGACAGTTGCAGCACGCCAGTTGGTTGGAGTGCATCGTGGATCCCAGACTCCTGCGTGAGGCAGTTGAGCCCAGGGCCTCAGTTGGTTGAGCCCTGGGTGCAGGCCAGGAAAGGCCGACACATCACACATTGGACGCTGGCCAATCAGAAAGCAGCATTGTCGTAGCGGAGGCCGAGCGTACCAATGGGAGACCGGGAAAGGTCTGCATCTGGACGGCAGCCCTGGGATACGGGCCGCAAATGTACTTCCTGGGCCACATTCGTGGTGGGCCTGGGCGCAGCTACAGGGACACCAGCGCAGGCTCAAAGC